GAAGAATCCTGGAAAATCCATTTTCTGGGTTTGGTTCAGAACCAAAAAAATCAAATTCAAAAGCTGTGAGTTTTATCGATTATTGATCTTATCTCACAGTGTTTAAGTGAGAGAATGTTGGATTTTTGTGATTTTGGATTGCCTAATTCTCATTTGTTTTCTTGGTGTGAGAGAAGACTAACAGTGGGAAAGAGTTGAAAAAAGATGTCAGATTGTACGACTTGTGAGCGAATTGACACATGCACTCACATTACAATTTCATCGTCACGTTTATTTCTTTATTCATCTGTAAGTTTCAATAGTATTCTTTAGAATTTACGAAAAGAAAATTTTATTATTATACGGTGCAAGTATGACAAGTTGGATCAGATTAATAATCTATGAATGCGGGTTTTGCTTATGAATTTATACCCAAAAATTCGACTAGTCATAAAATTTAATAAACATTTAAGGGCGTATTTTGTAGAGATTAAAATCGAATTAAAATTGAAAAATTAGTCGTTATTGTTGACTTTTATTAGACGAGTGAGACACAATAACGGCTATATTTTCAATTTTAATTGGATTTTAATCTTTACAAANAATAAAATCGAATTAAAATTGAAAAATTAGTCGTTATTGTTGACTTTTATTAGACGAGTGAGACACAATAACTGCTATATTTTCAATTTTAATTGGATTTTAATCTTTACCAAACAAGCACTTAAATAATTTATGTCATTAAAAGTTGGTTTTACCAATATAATAAAAGATTTAACAATTAATTGTGTGTTAAAGATCAATGACTAAATCGTTATTGGAACAATATATTCAAAACCAACACTACAATTCTTTCAATGTAACATGTTATGATGCTTATTGGCGAGCATGAATTTATACAACGTCCCTTGCCAACACTTAGTCCCTGTTTGGTATAGCTTAAAAAATTAATAAAAATTTAAGTCAAAACAACAATAAATTTACTCATTTCATGATATTTACAATTTTTATCAATTTTTTAACTATATATTTCATTAATTTTTATTAAAATTAACTGAAAATTTGATATTTAATTACCTCAAAATGGGCTTAATTTAAATGAATTCTCAAAATTTTACGCACATCAACACTAACCCTTTTTCTTATTTATGTAATACAATAAAATCTTTTAAAAACCAAAAAGCTATATATTTTTACACACATAATTTGTTGCTTATCAAATTGGGAAGACTCTCAAGCTTTGGTGGATTCACCAAAAAAGTCAAAATAAAGGACTGACGGCAGTTGAGCTCCTTTTGACCTTGATTTAAATATCTTTTTTTAATTAAAACTTATGATTTTTATTTGTAATGCCTTTTAAGGACCAGTGTAATGATGACATAGTGCTGACATCATCTCTGCGTTACAATTTCAATAATGTTATTGGTAGGGGTGTGCGTGGGTTGGGTTGGGTCGGTTTTTGCCCCAACCCAAAACCAACCCAACATTATCGGTTTGTTCGAAATCCAACCCAACTCAACCCACCCCAATTATGTGTCGAAAGGGTTGGATTGGGTTGGGTTGGTCGGTTTGAATCATAGAAAGGAAGAGCG